TGCAGAGTTCTGGGCTCTATCATTTCCAGAGGCCTTCCATTCACCTTAATGAGGCCATTTCCTCTTTTGCAGTGAGCAACTGCAGTAGCAGTTTTCTAAAATAAGGTAGGGAAAAAACAAGAACAATTCTAACATATAGTATGTAGTTGAGCAGCATTAATTGTATCTTTCCCATTCTAGAATATAATTCTGAAGCAACCCCTATATACAGCTCACTACTACTAAAACCACTTTCAGTAGCTGTAAGATCTGGCTCACACTTCAGTGTAGCTTCTGCTATTCATATATATCTATAAAATCCTATCCTCATTTCTCATTATGCAATGTAAATCCTTTTAAAAGAAAAAAACGCTGCAGAGATCAACAATTTGCTGGGAACCACAACTGGTGAGAGTGCACTGTTGCATTCATGCCCTGCTTCCGATAGACATTTGCACAAGCTATTGCAGTAACAGGATGTTGGTACTAGATGGGCCCTCATCCCAATTCAATGCTCTTTTTATGTTCTTACGGACAACTCCGTAAGAGTTGGTGGAGCAATGGAGTGGCAAAGACCCATTATAAGAAAGTGAGGATGTACTCCATGGCGCATGTGACCTTAATATATATATCAAGGCTGGAGTAGGGCAGTTAACAATATAGAAGGGGAAAACGAATACTATTGACATAGAATAATGCAAACTAATACGGAAAACTGAAGCAAACCAAAGCAGAAACAGCCCATTCAAATAGACAATAAAACAAAACCCCATTTGATTTTTTTAAAAAAATACACTGTAAGTTTTTCAGAAGGCAAAGGGAGGGAAATTTGTTTGCCTGGCGCCTAAGTAAAAAAAAAAGGGGGGGGAAGGCTTACAAAAGCCACGCGGAGAAGGACCTCCCACCACCCCGCCAAGTTATGAGAAAACAAGACAACTCGTCGGGAGGAGCAGGGGGCGCTGAACCCAATTCGCCCTCCACTCAAGCAGCTGCAGTTACTTTATTTTTGGGCGGCGGGAGAAAAAGGGAAAATGAGCCGAGGCGCGCCAGGAAAAGGAGACACGAGGCGCCTCCACCGCAGCAGCCGAGACTCACGGGGCAAAATGAGAAGGTCCGGTACCCGCTCCCTCCCCCTGTACAGCCCAAGAGTCGCCAAGGGAAGAAGCCAGGCCCAACCACCACCACCCCCCAGCCTCACCTTCCTGCCGAAGACCTGCACGCTCTGGAGGGGTCCCTTAGCCGGCATGGCGCCTGAGGGAGGGGACAAAAGCACAAAGAAACGGGCGAGTGAGAGACCAGCTCGCGAGACCCGCGTTAAATGCCGCGACCGGGAAAAAGGCCGGAGCCCCACGGATCACCCACCTTGCCGTCAGCGAGAGCGGAAGAGAAAAGGAGGCGCACGGGGCTTCCCAGGCCTATACTCGCAGGGGCAGGCTCGGTCGCGCGGGGCGTGACGTTGTTTCCGGCGACGCCGCGCGCTGCCCGGCAAAGCTTCCGCTTTGGCCTCCCGTCGCTGTTTCCGCAAGTTGCCTGAGGGAAATGGCGGCGCTCACGGCTCTCTTGTTCGCAGGGGTTCCTCCGCGAGGGTCATTCCTGTGTGGAGAGAGAGAGAGAGAGAGAGAGAGAGAGAGAAGGTGGGGTGGGCGGAGGCAGTCAGGCGCGTTCATGCTGCATAACGTTTAATAGGCACATTTACGAGCCCACCAACGGTTTAAAGCGAATTCGTCGCCCCCCCCCCCACGGCCTCCTCCTTCCAAAGACTTTATTAAAGGTTGGTGGGCACTGGAACTCTTATGAAGAGTACAGTTCCCATAATTATTTGAGGGAAGGCTTCAGATATGTTTTATAAGTGTGTGTGCAGACTTACTCAACCTTGTCATCCTGTAATTAGAAAAGCGGTCGTCATGGATACTCAGACAGAAGATTTGAATACAGTATATGCTTTGCCCAGGCGTTTTATGGCAGGGTAGAAATTAGCATATTTTTTAAAATCTTCTGATTACCCTATATCCTACCTCCACAACCCAGATAGTGTGGGAATAATGCCAACCATTCCATAACCATTGCTTATATTTCAAAATGAATTCCCTTTATTGCAGTGAGATCTACTTCCAAGTACAGGGGTACCTCGGGTTACATATGCTTCAGGTTACAGACTCTGCTAACCCACAAATAGTGCCTCAGGTTAAGAACTTTGCTTCAGGATGAGCACAGAAATCGTGCTCCGGCGGCGCAGCAGCAGCAAGAGGCCCCATTAGCGAAAGTGGTGCTTCAGGTTAAGAACAGTTTCAGGTTAAGAACGGACCTCTGGAACGAATTACGTACTTAACCCAAGGTACCACTGTAAATCAGCCATTCTTATTCCTGTTTACTTAGAAATAGGTTCCACAGTTTTGGAGCTTAAACTCAGATAAATAAGTGTAGGGCTGCCATATTTTAAAAGTAAAATTCCTGACACCTGCAAAGTTGTTGAGTTCTTTTTGGGAACAAGCCTCAAATTGCTGAGGGTTTTTTGGGGGGGAACCTCCCCCCAAAATAGTGATTTTAAGCTTTGGGAGCTGTTTCCCCTGCTTTTTCTATCGTGTTGCCATACATCCAGGTGTACCCTGACATTTTGCTGATTTGGCCAAAAAATTCCCCTGACACCTCCCAAAAACCAGGACTTGTCAGGAATTTTCCTGACATATGGCAAGCCTAAGAAAGTGCAATGTTAAGCACATAGAATAAGCAAAGGATAACACTTTTAGGATCACACACAAAATAATGCCCTTTAGCTCTGGATAAACTAATATTCTGTCACCTTTTAGTATCGTGCTCTTCCCATTAACACCTCTCCAAAGTTGGTATGACTAGACAAGGGAAGGAAAGTCCCTATAAGTATGACTTGAGCTACAATCCTACACACTCTAGGAGCAAGCACCATTAAATTTACTTATGAGTAGACATGCAAAAATTGTGCTGTGAATTTAAAAGGGCCACTGAATATCTTTAAGGTGCAAGGGTTGAACTAAACCTATAGCTGTATCAGAAACTGAACCAAGTTGCACCTATCCTGGCTACCACTGACTGGACCAAAGTGCAGCTGCTGCTTCTATGCTGTTTAGTTCTTGCATATTAATGTCATGCCACATAACTGCAGCTTTGCAGTTGCATGGATGTAGGAATCTGATTCAGTTTGCAGTCCTATATCTGCTTGAGAGTAAATACCATTGAAACCCCATGAGATTTGCTTCTGAGTCCATACATACAGAATTGCACTATCTGTACTTTTATCATGGAAAATCTGAAAAAAGAATGCTGGAACACAGAGGTTTAAAGCATGGACCTGTACCTAGAAAAAGTGGGGCAAAAGTTCAGTGTGGACAAGCCCATTAGTGATAATGATAATGATTGATAATATTTTCCAGCTCCAATCATAGAGATTATTCATACATGCTTTATTTAATAATTCTGTTAGATTGCTTTCCACATGTTCCGTGGTCCAGCAACACCTTATTTTTTGTTCTTTGCAATATATGCAATTGAGGGAATTGCACTGAATTCACTATAAGCAGTCAGGCATAATTGGAAGCTATAAAAACTTCCTATTTGCCCACAGTGCCATCATATGGAAAATGGAAGCAGTTCCAGGCCAATCTAGTGGGTCCAATATGTATTTTGTTTTTGGTGCATAGCCCTTGCCACAAACTGAATCTATCAGTTGTAGTCAGTCCTGCTTCCCATATCCAGTCCAATTCACTTTCAAATAAAAAAGTTTTGTGGTATATATCACAATGGACATCTCTGAGGATTAAAGCCGTTAAATACAAATGTTAGAGAAAACAGATAATGCTGGGTTGAAAGTAATGGTTTCTTGGTAGGGCATGTATTTCTCCAAATTTTGTGGGACTTGCTTCAAATTAAGAAATATTTTTCAGTTCGTCCAAGGTTTGCCTTCTCTCTTACTGTTGTTGCTCCACTAGTGATAAGAATAGAAGTATAAAAAGTTACTAGAAGTTTTATTTATTAGAACTGGAAGCCTCCTGTTTTATATTTTCCTTCTTCCCATATGATCCATGTTGACTAATTGGTTTTGCAAATGGCCGGAATTGGTATGCCACCTAGCGGTTATTCTAAATATTTTCTTATCACTGATAAGCATAACACAGGATAGGAATAATACCACTATGACTGTACCTTATTTGCCAGCGAGCTTTGAAGTAGAGGGAAATTTGAACATTCAAACGCTTATCTTGCCCTCAAGTTTCTGTTGTGGGGCTAATGAAAGTAGAAGATAATTCCTGTTTTCGCATTTTTCTTTTCTTTGATATTGATGGATAAATAACAAGTGCCTGAGATTTCAGGAGACCTACTATAGCAAAGCTTATGTTCCTTAGAAGGAAGGTAGAGCGCTTCCACATTTGTTTTGTTATTAAATTTACATTGGACAAATGGACTGCATTGGTCATGACATCCATAACTCACAGATGGCATTCTCTCTCAACTGCATTCAGCATACATAATTTCCATATTAAATTTGTTCAGCATGAACGTTGTAACCATTGCTGTGAACATGCGTCATCTCGTTCTTTCTTGCATATTTTATAAATGACATTCATGAACTACTTGGTATTTCAGTGAGCTGTGGAAAGTGTGAGTTCACTCTTTCTTGCCAACATGGACATTATAACTTGAGTATGCTTGGCTTTCTCAGTATATGTTGAGTCAATGAATGCATTATTAGGCGCATCATATTTGGAGATATGCATCTTCAGTGTCATGACTTGAAATTAATGAGCCCTTCCAAGACCAAATTGGCTCTGTTTTCTCATTTTCAGCACTAAACTGATGTCATCTTCTTACATAGAGGAAAATAAGTGTATTGTATCCTTCAAACAAAAACAAAACAGAATTGTGTAGAATATATTAGTTGTTGATTTTTGAGAAATGTTACTGCTGACTTGATTATTTTGTTCTCTTTGGTTCTTATTTTCTCATTTTTGAATACATTTTTATTTAATTTTTAAACTATTTTACCTTGATTTTGTGCCGTTTCCTCAGCTTATGCACCATGACTTGGATCCAAAACCTTTGTTCCAGCAGAGACTCCCACAAACAGAGGTAGGAGACAATTTTCACGAATTCCTTCTTCACATTGCAGTACTCCAAATCTTTTAAATACAGAAAACAGTGGGCAAGGTGGCATTGGGAGGCTGCAGGCAAGGTGCAGGGTGGCAGCTGCCTCCCCCCAAATCAAGCAAAGAAATAAAAATGCTTAACTAACTGACCAATTGCGTCACAGATAACATGGTTCCCCCCCCCATAAAACCTGCCCCCCCTAAAATAAATCCTGGCTATGCCCATGGCTGCAGGGGGAGAAGAAACAAAACAAAACAAAACACCTCCTCTGTTTGTTGGTCTGCTGGATCAAAGTCTCTTACATTCGAAGAAAGGTTCCTCCCATAATCAGAAGCACAGCTTTGGGTCCAACCATTAGTCTCCCATTTTACAGTCTCCCAACATGTTAACTTACAATTTAGACTTTGTTCAGACACACTTTGCCTTGAATTTTCAGCCATAGTCCTCTCTTCTTGTAAGGTTCGGGTTTGATACTTAAGTTGGGGACACCACACAGAAGTGTACGCCTATCTGCTTTTATAGAAAGAATGGCACATGGAAGCAGTGCTACACTGTGCATAGGAGGAACAAGGGTGATAGATGTAGAATGTAGTGAGGAACACAAGACTGATGGCAGCTGGGCATTCCATGAGGTAACACACAAGTCAGCGAGACCAGCGGCAGGACATGAGTGGGGTGGAGCAGCAGCAAGGCCTTTCTGATTGGGGTACTGCTGCCACTCGCTGGATGGGGCAAAGTGAGGTGGTTGCACGGTTCAGAGAGATTTGGGTTTGTGGCAGCAGCCCCATAGATACATGTTCATTTGAGGGGCTGCTACATCCAACCTGGGCCTCCCCCAGCCTCACCGCCAGCCTGCCTCATGCTGGCGACTGCTTTATTACCACCATAAAGGCACCACTGCCACTCTACACACACCCTCATGTGCCACTGCTGAGCAGGACTAAACCAGCACTGTGATTAGATACACATAGGACTGGGCTCTGTAACTTAAGCTTTAGAACAGATTTGTTACCAGAATTAATAGTATAGTATTTCCAGCAAGTCTGGTGTGATATTTTCCTTCTCCAGTTTTACTATTGGTTTGAAAATGCATAGGATTGGGCTTACATGGTGGCTCAAGAGCCCAAAAGAAAACAGATTCTCCAGAAAAGGACAGGACTAAGTCCTGTAATGACCAGTTTGCCCCTTTTCTTCCTGCAAGGCAGCTACCAGCTCTTTGGCAGAGTTGTGATAAAAGACCAGTCAGAAACCTCCCAACCCCTGATACAGGAAGGGGAGTGATGCCACAGGAAGGATCTGGCAGAACATCAAGTGAGGCAACTCAGTTCTTGCCATTCACTGCCTGTTAGCTAACACGGAGACTTTGCATTGCTATTGGGAATAGAAAGGCCAGCACTGCAAGCAGGTTCCAAAAATGTAGCATTCCCATAATTACCACCACAGTGATTGGAGGGCACCTCCAAACTTTCACTATTTTGCAGGAGGAATTCAAGCACATGCCACAATTTTAGGTTTGTGCAGTTAAAATAGATTAAACTGCACACACAAAAATCCACTTTAGAAAAGGGCCTGACTTTTTGCAGTTTAGAAAGTGACAGGGAAATGCATTGAAAAGTGCAGAATGAGGGAATGACTAAGGGAAAGATGAATGAACATCCCACAAGCCAATCGGAATGAATGCAGAACAAATACTCATTGTACAAACACTCAACAAAGCAATCAGAACATAAGTTCAATAAAGACTGGATACAATCTAATATTCATGTAAGCTTTAGGTAAGCATATCAGGATGAATACACCATAAACAGGTTGTCTGGAGGGCCCCCAATTCTTATTGGAGCTTGTCAGTCCAAAACCCAGCTGTCCGGCAGCACTCATCTATAAGCCTTTAGTTGAAATCTTTCTCCTTGTAATTTTGACTTTTTCTGCCTTTGATTACATGGCATATGACAGAAGGGGAAGATCAAGCAGAGGCCCAAGAGGCCCAGTTGTTTTCCTTAGAAACGGAAGCATCTGATCACCCTAGGAAAGGATAAATGCTTTTCTCACACATTTAAATGCTCTCAGAGGAGAGCTTGAATGTGAAACAGCTAATAGCAGCCTTATTGTCAAAAATATTCCACAGCCTTATTGTCAAAAATATTGCACAGGTTCAAACTGTCATTGAAGTGAACTGGGTTTGTGTAAAAAGGCTTGAGACTAAACTGTATTATCTGTTCAGTTTTTTAATTGACCAGTTACCAAGGTCTGTGATTTGACTTTATATATGTCACTGAACAGCTATAATGTTCTGGCTAAGAAATCTGGCATTAGAGAGCCTTGCCTGCTCATACAGAACTGGCCCTTTTATCATCATGCTAGGCTTTGGCGAGGCAGTAAAAAAATAGTGTGGCAGCAATAAAGATAAAGGTAAAGAACACCTTACAGTTAAGTCCAGTCGCAGACGACTCTGGGGTTGCGGTGCTCATCTTGCTTTATAGGCCGAGGGAGCTGGCATTTGTCTGCAGACAGCTTTCCGGGTCATGTGGCCAGCATGACTAAGCTGCTTCTGGCTCAACGGAACACCGAAACTAGAGCAACACACGGAAATGCCGTTTACCTTCCCACCGGAGCAGTACCTATTTATCTAATTGCACTTTTTTGGCGTGCTTTCAAACTGCTAGGTTGGCAGGAGCTGGGACCGAGCAACGGGAGCTCACCCCGTCACGGGGATTTGAACCGCCGACCTTCTGATTGGCAAGCCCAAGAGGCTCAGTGGGTTTGACCACAACGCCACCCACGTCCCTTGTGGTAGCAATACAATATTTAAATGTCCAATTTAAAAAATAGAAGACTACTGGAATAACTTGATGAATTCTTAGGTCCCAAAATATAATGGAGCTTTATTAATGTATAGCAGAGGTTTGTGTGGTGCATCAGTGACTCTTTTTAATGATTAAGACAGGTGAGGAAAACCAGGTATGACCTTCTCACCTTCTTTTTAAGGCTTTTGGGTCTCTCCCTAGGCCATCCTGCACTACACCCTCCTTGTGTCTGCTTGGCTGAAATGGCCTATAATAATGCCTCTTCCTATAAGTGTTTTATTGGAGGGTGCAGAGACACTTATATGCAAAAATGTGTGTGGAAACCTCTGCCCTTTTCATGGCTGGAATGTAGCCCATTGTGCAAACGTATGAGTCCATCCCTCCATCCTCTGGCCCTGCCCATCACTGACCACTGGCCCCTGGAATTTTCCCTATGAGAAAATGTGGCCCTCAGACTGATAATGATTCCCCACCCTTGTGTTAAAATAAATACACTGTAGGAACCACGCCCGAAAATCACATGAGAAATTCGTATGAGGATGTTACACCTTTTTTCACATGGGGATGTTATGCCAGCACAAATTAGTTTTTCAGAAGATTTGCATGGATCATGGCAACAGTAGTCCATCTTTGGGTGTGTCATCCTCTTGCCTGCTTTTTCAGAAACCAGTTCGGCAGTGCCAAGATGCCTCTTTGTAGACATGCTGCTCATTTCCAGCTGCCGTGACCCATGACAAGAAAAGGGCTAAATGAGTTGCTCCTTTTGATATGGGGTGTGTTTGACAACACACCTCTCTCCCTATTGCTCATACTTATCAGAGCTTTGTTGCGCAAAGCTGCTAGTTGCCTCTGTGCCTAGTTAAGCAACTTTATCATGTGTCATGAACCAACACACAGTGAGCAAACCGTTTTATAAAAATTACCTTGAGATACTTTGAAATGTTTGTATAACTGCATGCATGGCAGAAAATGGGTTATAAAGAAAGAAAACTGTAACCATAATTCAGCATACTAGATGTATAAGAAAAACATGCACTGCAATTTTAACTACCAGAAATTCTTGGATGACAGGTTATGTAGATCCATTCCAGTCTGGGTTCAGGCCTGGCCACGGTTGCCCTGATGGATTACTTTTACAGAGAGTGGGACGGGGAGTGCAAACTTGCTCCTGCTTCTCGATCTCTCATCAGCTTTTGACCATGGTATCATCCTGAACCGGGAATAGGAATTGGGAATAGGAATCGGGACCACCATTTAACAGTGGTTCCAATCCTAGCTTTGGGACCAAATCCAGAGAGCAGCACCATAAGAGTGCTTCTAAGCCCTTTGGTGGCTGGCTACATTATGGGATGCTGCAGGGCACTTTCTTGTCTTCAGTGCTAGACTGAAGAACTTTCTGACAGTAAGAGCTGTTTGACAGTGAAACAGACTCCCTTGGGAGGTTGTAGACTCTCCTTCATTGGTAGTTTTTAAGCAGAGGTTGGGTGGCCATCTGTTATGGATATTTTAGTTAAGATTCCTATGTTACAGGGAGTTGGACTTGATGGTCCCTTCCAACTCTGATTCTATAATTATGTAATATCTATATGAAGCCACTGGGAGTGGTCATTAGGAGTTTGGTGGCAAGCCATTATCGGTACCCAGCTCTATTTCTTCATAACATCTGAATCAAGAGAGGCCATGTTGTCCCTGGGCCAGTGCTTGGACGCAGTGGTGAGATGGATGAGGAAAAACTAGCTGAGCTTGAATCCTAGCAAGACAGAGGTACTGTGAGTGAGTAGTATCTGAGAAATTGGTCAACTTCCTTCTCTGGATGGGGGCTGTGCTGCTGCTGAAGGAACAGGCTTGCAGTCTGAGGGTGATTCTGGACCCAGTTATGTCACTGAAGGCTCAGCTAACCTTAGTGGCTAGAAGTGCCTTTTACCATTCCCACCACCCTTCTGAGTAATACCCCTCCCCACCCTCTCACTATATATAAGGGTCTGGTGACTTCTGTTTCAGTGTATCTGAAGAAGCTCATACCAATAACTAACTTAGTTGGTCTCCAAGGTGCTACTGGAAGGAATTTTTTATTTTATTTTATTTTATTTATTTTGTTTTGTTTCAACTACAGCAGACCAACACAGCTACCTACCTGTAACTTTTACCAACTGCAATTGATACTGATAATTGATTTTAAAAATTGTTTTTAAATAGTTGTTTTATTAATAATTCTCTTGCTTTATTTTCTTTATAAACTGCTTTGAGATCCCATGCACCCACCCATCAAGTGCTGCATAACTTTTATGAAACAAACAAATAAGAAAAACATACAGGTGCTTTCTGTGAGTTTTGTCAGACTTGAGCGCATTGAACACTTTGAGAATGCAGAAAACTTGATAAACAAGCCATGCAACTGCAATAAGGTGAATGTATTTATGGGCTATTCTTTATGCCCAAAGAACCATACCATTTTCATGACTCAGAAATCTAACATATCAATATGTGCTCTTCCTGCAGCTGTCCCAGCGCGCAGAGGAAGCAAAATATAGCCAGTAGTAACACCCTAAGCAGTTGTGGAAACACTGAACATTAGGAAGTATATTAAAATGTCACTCTTGTAAAGAAAAACAAGATTAGAAACAGACCAACAATTAAGCCCAAATTGCTGTGGGAAAGCTTCTACAAAACTACAAGGTCTGTGAAGAATTGGTGATACATAGGACTGTGTGAGTAACACTCCAGAGACTGAATTTCTTTAGACAAACCATATGGTTTAGACCAGATGGTTTTATTTTGGCAGGCAAAATTCACATCTAATGAGGTTCTTTAAGCAGGCCTTGCACACACAATGTAAAAGACATGGGTTTGTTTTAATGATGAGAGAGCAACAGTTGTGAGCTGTTATCTAGCATTTGAAATGTGATTCATTTATTTTTCAAATTCATGAATCCTGTTTTTACTGCTGCCACTACCTTTGAAAAGTAGGAGATAATTAAACAAGCCTGTATTCTACAGATACAACAAGGCAGAGTCAAGGCACACACAAAGTGAGTACCCAAAGAAAGAAGGATGGGCAAAAAAGACTTTTCAGGTTTAGATGTTATTTGCTGCTCATCTGTACAGGATACATCAAGTAGGGTTGCCATTTGTCTGGAATTTCCCAGACATTGCCAGGATTCAGCCTCGGAAACGGTGTCTGGACGGAAAATCGCTTTAAATGTCCAGGAAAATTCGGACGTATGGCAACCCATGTTGGAAGTGTAGATTTTGGCAAATTTTCTTTAAAAATCTTCTTTGAGATCTTGGGGGGGAAAAGCAGCTCAACAACTTTTGTGTTCAGACTTTCACTTTCTGAAATATGGCAACCCTACATTAAGACATTATCTGACTGGCATGAGGGCATCTGGGAGCAGCAACAAGCTTACCATTAAGAGAATGTATGAAGTGGGGTTAATGCAAGGAAGTTGGTTATGCGAAGATTTCATCTATGAAGGAGAAATTCCTTTTCTTCTCGAAGATTTATTTATTTATTTATTTACAGAGCAATCCAACCCTCCAGTCCACCATGCTACAGGGGGTTTGGATGGAGCAGAGGTGTCCCCCTGCCTTGCCAGCCTCTGCTGTTAGCCAGGAAGCTCTGCTGGTGCATCTACCCAAACAGCAGGCAGAAGCCCAAACAGGCAGGTGTAAAACCATAGTATCCTGAGCTACCTCTACTGACATCACTTGGAGGCAAGCAGTTCCATTCTGGGCATCTTCACCACACCAGCCTAAGAGCTGGCACACTCACCTGCATTGAGGTCCTGGTCACCTATAGATGCCAGGCAAGTGTTTAAATTCAAGGCTGCTTTATTTACTTATTTTTGACTATCCAATTGAAGAGGGATTTGGTTTCTAATCAGATTGAACTGCTTGTTACGCGTGGACTGTAACAGCACAGCTTACTTGGTTGCTTGGGAGATAGGTACACACCAAAAAGAGCCTATTCTGCAAAGGAAAGCAGCTGTAAATTCTTAATAGGCTGAGCAACCCTGATTTATTGCCACCATATCATACGTGAAGCAGAGTGTACTAGAGACTGGTCTAATAATGAATCCCATTAATTAAAAACCAATTAAAATGCCAAGATAAACATTACATTTGGTGCTACAAGAACAGTACATGCGAGAGGCATACTTGAATTATGCAGAAATAAATGTCAGTAGAAACCTGGGTGGTTTTGTTTTATTTTGCCTTTAAATCAAGCCATTTGTGAAACTGGCAGCGACAGCAACAATTTATGTATGTGTGTTGTATTGGTGGTGTTGATACTATGATTATTATTTTGAGAATGTCTATATTAACTGAATGCTAGACATAAATCAGAGTTCTAGGATAAAAAAACCCCTTCAGTTTAAGATAATAGTTAAGTCTTGTCAATCTCTTGTGCATCAAAAAGCACTAACTTAAGGCCTCTGCATTAACTTTCAACCTATGTGAAGGCAAGCAGTAAAGTCACTATTAAGTCTTGCATATTGTGCTCACTTACAACTTAAGCCTCACGCACCCACATGCTTCTGCTCTTCCTCTGCACACTAGGGAAATATTGAAGACAGGGTCAGTGCTATATATTCAGTGCTTGTATATTCTGAACTTTAAAATCATACAATCCATCATTTGCAAAACTTATTTTAAAACTTTATGGCCCAGTTTCATGCATATTTAATCAAAAATTGCAACAGAATTTTTTCCTGTTCACACATTACATTTGCAGACTTGGTCCCCAATTGGGGTTGCATTGCTAGCATCAAGATGGTATATGAAAGAAGAAAAGTGGTGCTGAAGTACCAAGAGGATATGTAAATATGTACACATATGCAAAAAGGTAGAGGGAGCTTCAGGGAACTTGGGGCATTCCCCCCTCCCATGAAATGGTTTGCCTTTCAAATATTCCATTTAACCCTACTTAGAATAAACTGTGACAAACTATGGATGTATATGATGTACATGTCATTGTTATTCAAAGTCAAGTGAGGCTTTTCATATTCTAAAGGTTAATATTAATTTGTCATTTTAGCTTATTACAGTTTTTCAAACAATTTCCCCTTAATCTGTATCAAATTAAAGGCTGGGAATGCCATTTAGCACACAGTGGCCTTTTTTGCAGTTACCACAACTCCTTGCCATGCAAACAGCATTGCACTATCAGGGCTGTCAGATGGAGAGATAAACATATTTAGCAACAGTGGCTTCCTGCCACCATCTTTAGTCAGAATGAAAAAGAAACCATTAAAGGATGAGCTGTTCCTAATGTGGTGATGGGAAGTTGTGGTCTCTTGGGAACACATCAGCAAGGACCCTGAAAGAAGGACAAAATACTTGGCTGCATCACATTCAATTAAATGCTTTATAAACCATTTCCAGCTTGCTAATGCACATTACTCATGAATCTCAACGAAGTACACAGTCTTGGTTAAGTAATGCTTGCAGAAACAGCAGAAAATTAAAAGGCAGCAGTGAAGCTGATGTCATCTCTATTGACCTTTTGGAAGGCAGAGAGCATCCAGAGCACTAGCCAAACTCCAGCATGTGTATCTTCCAGAACAGGAGTGGTCATCTGTGTTGTCTGTCAAGGGCTGAAATTTTTTCAGGGCTCATCTGTTCAGGGTACAGGCCAGAGGTGGATGGAGACAGAGGCAATGATCTGCAGAGGCAGAGACCAGGAGTGACTTGTCCAGGGGAGCCACTGCTACTTACTGGGAGAGGGAAGTGGCGGTGAGGTCAGGGCTTTACAGACATCACAGATGCGCCCACAGCACCACCTCGCCTCTCCCCATCCTAGTAAGCAGTAGTGACTCTCCTGCTGGGAAGCTATTCTGTGCTCCCACCCCACTGGATCCTGCCAGAGACAAAGTGTTCTGAAATAAAAAAATCAGAATAAAAGAGCACCCTGCTTCAATTGTCACCATGGATACCTCCATTTAGAATTCCCAGTCTTACAATCTTGTGCAGGAGGAATAAGCCTCAGTGGGTTTAAGGTTACTTTTAAATATACTGATGGCATGGTTTTTTTGAAGTACATCATTCCAATACAGCAAAGTTCAAATGGGTTTGGGGGAGTTGGGAATCACTATCCCAGATGACCCACCGCTGAGAAGGGCTACACCGACCCACCTTACCTCATTCATTGGAGCAGGAGGTGGAGGAAGGCAGTTGTAACCACTGAAGAACGTCATACTTCTGGGATTTGGAATGAAGAAGAAGCAAGGTGTGGAGAGCAGGAAGGTGGTGCAGAGTCAAATCACGCAGGATTCAGCAAGAGGATAAGTGCAAGATCCAAGGCAGGGGGATACTGAGTGTGGAAAAGAAGCTGGGAAGTCAGTCTTTTTAACTATTTGCAAACCACACTTGATAAAATGAAGAGTGGCCTATAAATACCTTAAATAAATACTTTTGGGCGGAAAGGAAGGGGGTGAATCAGGACAGGAGTATTTTGTCTTTAAACAACAATTTAAGACTAATGCTGAAATACACATACTTGGGAGCAAGCCCCATTCTACTCATGCATAGGACTGAGCGGAGAAGAATCTTTATGTGGCAATTATGAATGAAAAAGGTCCAGAAAGCAAAGTAAAAAACTGGTTTGGATTATGATGTCATGGATTGAGCAAGGAAATTGTAGCTTTGACCGTGAGGTAACTGTAACAATAAGTCTTGAGTAGTTTGTTTTCACAAATACCTGCTGTTTGATCCAAAAGTCTATTCCAGTCTTTGAGCTCTAGATTCGGCTCTTGAGCTGCGATTCACAGAGCTGGCACCAGGGGGCCATTGAATGCTGAGTAAAGAAGCAAACTAACCCACTAGAAATGTCTTCTGTTTTATTTGTGGCCCTTTGAAGTAACGTTTGAAGATTCAGTGACAATATTTGTAATAAAGTTAAGTGGGTACAGCTGATTAAAAGCAATGGGGCGATTTTATAGAAAGGAGAATACTTCACTTCAATGTAAACACTCTCCCACCAGGGATTCCTGTTTTCCAGTGGTCAGTTCAATGTTTGGAATTTTGCCGAAGGTATCTGAAGAAAGCCGTGAAGATATTTGTCAACTCCAGTGTTCTCCAGGCTTTGCCAGAGACGCCAGGCAGGTCATCTTTCTCCCCAGATGAGCACGTTGCCCTGACTCAAGGCCTTGCAGGGTTTACCCAAAGCATTGTCTGACTCCCACTCCCTTGATACAGAATGCCCAGTCCAGAATTAGTGCTGTCAAAACTAAATTGTCCAGATCTCCACTCGTGCCTCTTTTACTCCCTTGCTTTTCACGGTTTTCATGACTGGCTTAGTTGCTAAGCCCTGCTGGGTTTCCCCCAGAACTGTAGCAATTAAGCGTGTTCCTGGGAAAAAGAAAGTGCCTTTCCTTCTAGCTGTAGTTCATTTGGAGAACCAAAGGGCTGTAGCCCAATGGTAGAACATCTCCTTTGCTTGCAGAGAGCCCTAGGTTCAGTCCCCAGCATCTCTAGATAGGGCTGTGAATGCCCCCCTCCATCTGAAATATGAGAGGGCTACTGCCTATCAGTGTAGCCAGTGCTGAGCTAGATGGAGCAATACTGTGATTCATGTAAGGCAGCTTTCCCACATTAGATAAACTAGGGATTGGGAACTTCAGGCCTGGGGACCAAATGCAGCTCTCCAGCTCTCTCTGTACGAGCCTTGGGACTCTTTCCCCAGACCACATCTCCTCAGCCTAACCCCTCACTGACCCTACTTCATACCTCTCATCAGTGCTTTTTCTTGGTTGCAATCTGTTCTTGGCCCCTTGGTTGTCTGGCTGGTGTGAGTAGGTATAGAAACTAGCCTACTGTACAAAGTTTAAATTTACATTCATGGATTTTGCTCACTGTTTCACCTCTGGTGTGCAGCCCCCAGAAGGCTGTCCAGATAAGAATGTGGTCCCCAAGGTGCATACACAGCACACCTGAAAAGCAGGCTCTCCACCCCACCCCACCCCAAATCCTGGAAATCGTGGTATGTTAAAAGGTATCTTTGTGAGGAGGAAATGGCAGGTCCCTGGATTCCTTGTGGGGCTGCTTTAAATATATTTTAACTGTATGGTATATACATATGGTATATACATACCCTAAGTTTTTTTAAAATCTAAAACTGGGATAGCTCAGTTGGTAGAGCATGAGACTCTTAATCTTGGGGTTGTGGGTTTGAGCCCCACGCTGGGCAAAAGAGGAGTTGAACTAGATGACTCTCACGGTCCCTTCCAATTCTATTATTCTATGAAAAAGATTCCACCTCCTGACTTGAACCTTATGTGTCTGAAACCAGGAGTCCAGGGCATCAAGTGACTGACTGAGAGTAAATCATATATACAGATGGAGCCAGGATACTGTGCATGAGAACTTAGCTCCTGATCTTGGGACTCTGATGATCCCAAACAGTCTCTTCTTAAGCCAGGGCCTGCTATAAAACTCAGATCCACTGCATTCCTTCAGGTAAAGCAGCTTGTTGGCAATATGCCAGTATTTACCTCTGCACCTGCATGTTCCAGATATTTGCAGTAATCTGGACTTAGGCATCTAATATATATCTCATCTAGCCATAGTTCATTATTCCTGCAATTGCCTTTGCACTCCACCCTCCCAAGCTGTCCCTCCTTATATAGCACAGCACTCCTGTTTATCCAGACTCCTAATTACCTGAGCGGTTTGCATACAATGTTTGTTAGTCAGATCATAACCATAAATCCAACATTACTTCTGCTTTTAGACATACTCCTTTTAAAAAAAATATTCATTTCAGACGACGGCAAAAATCCTAGATAAAGCAGCGGCAGATACTGGGGGAGCAGGTTGGTGGATCGGAGGCAAGCTGATTTATTTGCATATGTAAGAAAATCCCAATTTAACTTGCTGCCTATAAAAAGAAACAATCTTCTGAACTCCAAATAAGCAGCATCTGGGAAGGTCAAGGAATTCATCCTCCGAGAACTCCTCTGTCAAGCATGCCAACAATAAACGGAGAGGAGTTGCCATGGCACCAACACAAAGGGAACATAAATTGGCAAGAAGTGACTAAGGCTGGCTATAGCCGTATAAGGTATTTGGGAAAAGGCATTACTTTGCTACTTGGTATTGATTATAACCAAGATCTCTTTCCCTGTCCGCCCGTTCCTCTCCCCCTATTAATCTTTACAACTCACATATATTTATTTGTCTAAGAAAGGGGTTGTTCCCAATCTGCATGCCAAAGTGAGGGCATGGTAATTAACTACTGCAGCAGGATGTGCACGCACAGCAGCTTAGTCCAGTGGTTATCTACCCTATTCAAACAATCTGATAGGCCGCAGGAATACTGCAGGACTCCAGTGGCTTACCAGCATACTTTACCTTTTATAGTCACAGTGTTACTGGACTCCATTGGAGGAGTCGTGGAAGAAACTTGCGTTGAAACCTGGTAGCCCCACCATCCCTATAGTTTTAACAGCCCTTCTGCTTCTCGTGCCTCCTCAATGGTATCTCCTTTCCCCCATCCTGTAGGACTCTTGCAAAGAGGATGAGAAGTGGGTGTGCTATTGCCTTTTAACTTAAAAGCATTGCCTCCTTCCCTGTAACTAGTGGTTTTCTTCTCAAACTTCCTACCCTCTGGGAACCATCACAAAATCACTGTTTGCCTACTGAGTCACTTCAACGTTGTAAAGATGATAATTCCAGGGTGGGTTTGGGAGGGTTTTTTTAAAAAAAATGTATCATGAAGTTAAAATCACAATCTGATAAGAAATATGAAATTTAAAAAATAAAAAAGAAGAGGAAGGGAAACAGTTAAAAAACAAAAACAAACCCAAGCTTCACAGCCATTACCTCATAAAATACATTCTCAAGGGACTGCACAATGAATTAGATGTTACGACAAAATACCAAATAAAGCCATATTTCATCAGGACTTCCTATCCCTGTGATTGGCCTTATCATATAAGCAATAAATTGCTACCAAATGGAGGCAAAATCCATAGATGTAGCTGCCCCCCTCCAAGATTCCCTTAATTTATAAATCAGTTTCACAGAACTCAGAATAACCATTAATTTGCCATTGAACCAATTATTTAAAGAAAAACCCAAGACTCCTTCCAGCCCAGGGTTATGGTCAAAAAAGCAGCTACTAATAGAAAAATTATAAGTGGTTTACATATTAAATCTATTCGACTCATCAGTAATTGATAGAAGTCACAGTTTGGGGTTTAAAGGCACCAGTAAACCCATTATGGGACATGGGTGGCGCTGTGGGTTAAACCACAGAGCCTAGGACTTGCCGATCAGAAGGTCAGCGGTTCGAATCCCCATGACGGGGTGAGCTCCCGTTGCTCGGTCCCTGCTCCTGCCAACCTAGCAGTTCGAAAGCACGTCAAAGTGCAAGTAGGTAAATAGGTACCACTCTGGCGGGAAGGTAAACGGCGTTTCCGTGCGCTGCTCTGGTTCACCAGAAGCGGCTTAGTCATGCTGGCCACATGACCCGGAAGCTGTACGCTGGCTCCCTTGGCCAATAAAGCGAGATGAGAGCTTACCTTTACACCCATTATGTAAGAAATTACCTTCATGACCTCTTCCCAAACTTTATGCATGTTTGCAAGACCACCTCAAGTGCCAATAGATTTGGGGCTTCTTTTACACTGAATGCCACTCAAGGCTCTGGGGTTTGCCCTTCCTCTGTGCAAAATAAGAGTGTGTCAACCTATAACCTAACATTCCCCTGGGCCTGAGCATCTCTGGAGATGTTTCATAATGAAGCAGTGCTTGCCTTTCAGAGACATTTGTCTACCCTAAATGTTATCACTGAAGAACCCCAATAAACTTCTTGGGAATGCAGTTTGAGAACCTCTGAAAAATCTGAACACCCAACTCCCTCTCAATCCAAATATGTTTTGGTTACATCCACATGGCACATGGAGAAATCATCATACAGAAAGACGGAGATCCTGCTACTGATAATCTAGGATGTAGTTCAAAATTTTGCAGCAGAAAAGGAAGGTGACTGGCCAGACAGGCCATTTTCAAGAAATGTAAATTATCTTGCAGGCTTCTAAGCTCTCAGTTTGTCCACCATTCTCTGAGGGTACCCTTCCTTTGACATCAGTGTCCAAAATGAAGCACATGCATCTCCTCATCTGTGAGATATGTGTGCATGCTTCTGATGTAGGAATCACTGATGCATCTTAGTGCAAGGGAAGCTGGCTGTACAATCTCCAGTTCAGATATGATAAAGAATCATAGAGAGGAAGAAGTGTACGTCAGCCACACTTCCTGTTCCCCGGCATCTTGACTGGTGAAAAAAATCATCCTTACTGATTTTTCATCCGTAATGACTTTGTTCTTTAATAAATCTTTCCTTTTTTCAGTGCACGGCCTACAGTATGTAACAATTCTAGAACCCTTTTAAGGCTTTGTAATAGTTGCACACAGCCCTAGAAGCTGTCAGAATTGTACATGTGACACACACACCTTTTTAGATGAATATAGCCAATGAATCAGCACATACCCCTTTGATCACCCTGCTGTCTATAATGTATATTTCTCAAGCTGATCAAGAAGTTGCTTTTGAGTAGCTTTCATTTTGCCTCTTGCTAGAGAAGAAAAACTATACACGATACAGCAGGGAACATGTTATTCCTCTGACACAGACACAGCTGCGTGGGCAGAGCAGCCTCTTAACAGTGAGGATTTTGTAGGCATTAAGAGCCTGCAGAAAAAGATTTGCAACCTTAGTGGAAGAGGAAATGATACATCCATCAGCTGTTTATTATTTACAAGGGAGCTAAAAGCTTTGGTTAGCCCAGCTGGTGGCTGTGCTAAGATGTGCATTTGGAAAAAGGGGAAATGAGGTTTAGTTTTAAGGGGAGAAGTAGTGGATGAATGTGGGTCACCTGTCTCCCTCTCAGTCCATCCATCCATCCACTCTGAGCTTGCTCACAATTTTATACATTATTATGTAATGATTGCGGGGCGTTTTCTGTCACACTGGTGTTGGGAGCAACCGATAACATACCTTTCTCATCACCATTACGGCCAGTTGGTTTTGCCATTGTTCTACTGACTATTTGTTATTTATTCTATATGATTTATGTTGTGATTGTGATGTTCTACTATGTTATTGGTACTTATTGTTTGTGAGCTGCTTTGTGATTTGTGTGAATGAAAAGCGTCATAGAAATATAATGAATGCATATGGAAATGGCTATGCAATGACTGCAAATGCCCAGGTGTATGCCCAGCTCCCCTTCATGTCATTCTCTCCATGGATGAGGGAAACATTTAGAAGGATATTGGCTGTGGTCTCCATCCTGCTCTGGGGAAGGGCAAAGCTATGAAGATGGTATACGACAACTTGCTGTCAATTCTAAGTCAGATCATTGGTCGAATGAGTCAAATATTGTCAACAGTGACTGGCAGCAGTTCTTCAGGGTTTCAGTCTGGGTCTTTCCCCGCCTTTCCAGGAAGTTCTAGGGACTGTGCCAGGAACCTCGTTCAACGCAAGTGCTCTATCACTATGCAACGTCACACAGGAGTCTCCCTGGTGTTATTTGTAGCACTGTGACAGTGTATGCCTATTAGACAATACAGATGAGAAATCACACTGAAGGCAGATTTAGATTACTGTACTTTAAAATCAGTTTAAGCATCACCCATGAAAGTGAGGCACAAGTTTTTGCCCTCTTGTTGCTGGAGCTCAAGCTACTGTCCGTAGACAACTGAATGGTCACCTCTTCATAGACTTATAAATATGTGGCTTGGTTATATGACTCAGCTAACCAGGCAAAAGGTCTTCCTGACGAATAACATGATGTTGCATTTATGATTAAAGTTGAGCAATTAAAAGTTATAGTAAACAAACAATGGTTCATTACAACATGGCGCTGTTGTTCACTGCTGTTGTTTCTTTGCTTACGAATGTGTTTTGCTTGTGTTACACCCTGTGTTACACCCTGAAGGAGTCAGGAACTTTTTACAAAATCAAACTGTTTTTTAGGGTACAGAGCAAGCAAAGAAATTCATACTAAATGTAACAGAACTGGGCTTTTTCCCCCCCTTTTCCTAAGAGGAAGTAATATTAAAGGATGTGATGTTGGAGCAAGGGGCAAGCAGAATAGCAGGAGGGGCAGAGGAATATATTGGGAATGATGAGATTTACATAGTTGCTCAAAGTAAAAAACAAACAAACCACCGTCAAACTCTTTCAAGTTACATAATACGAAACTCTTTCAAGTTACATAATACGAAACTCTTTCAAGTTACATAATACATAATACAAAGACGACTTGCTACAAGATGAGCAAGGGCATTTCATGTACTTACAAAAAAAGTTAAGTCATGTAGATCTCACCTTCAAGTTATGCCCACTTCTTCTTTGGCGATCACTCGTAGCCGAGTAAAATTGTCTTCCATGAACATGGTTTTAACAGTGAGTCCATAAGTGACTGCGAAGGCCAATTCTGGATCCACACGTCCTTCCACAGTGGGGACAAATGTTTCCAGATGGGAGTTGACCATGGTGAGGGTTTGGCAATGCTGCCATCCTCTTAACATCCATGCCATCCTCTTAGCATGAATCCTCACTCGGCTTTGAAGCTTGCTGGGTGACCTTGGGCCAGTCACTGCCTCACAGCCTAACCTCACAAGGGAAGTTGTGGGGATTAAATGAGGAGGGGTAAACCATGTACACCACATTGAGTTCCCTGAAATGGCAGAGGTATAAACATGTCCATTAGAGTCAACAGTGAGCTCCTAATACATTTCCCTTCCCAACCACATCAGACTGGCTTGGTGAGACTGGCTCAGCAGGATGAGTTGGAATTGAGGCACCTCCACATTTTGGAGGCACGAGTTGTGGTTGCCAGGATATCTGAAGTCACATCCACACCATACATGTAAAGGGCATTTAAAGCACATGGCTCCTCCCCCTGCCAAAGAACCCTGGGAACTGAAATTTACACACAGCTACAATTCCCAGCACCCTAAACAAACTATAGTTCACAAGATTCTTGGGATGGGGGCATGCGCTTTAAATGTGTCTTAAATGAATGAATGTTGGTTAGTTTGTTGCAGGTCCAGTACAGTGACACACACACACACACACACACACACAGAGAGAGAGAGAGAGAGAGAGAGAATGGCTAAATGTAAGATGTGATTAATATACTCAAGCAGACAATGATCTGGACTAGAAATAGCCACAACTTTATCGATTACAGATATAGGTGAATTTTTGGTTCAGTTATTGGGTTTATAACTGTTCCAGTCCCCCCAGACAAAAATAATTATTATTATTTAATTTTTTAAAGGTAAGGAAACTCTGTTCCCCTGAGTTCCTGCTCAAAAATCAACAACCCTGGGCATGGCCATGTATGAATGTGCATTTACTTTATTTCCGTGGCCATCTAAAAATAGGTTTTGGGGAGGAGTGGAAGGATGTGCCCAGAGCTTTTTCCACATACCTGCCAGTCTGATGAGCCATCACCTACTCCTGTAGGAGGGTAGACCAATGATCCAGAATCTCTCTAGTTGCTATAGAAACCATTTCAGGGTGATAATAAGCCGCCTAACTGCCACACTCAGCCCATCTGTTTCCTCCAAAGTGCCATTTTCGGCAGCTCTTGAAAGGAAATGATGGAGTGAGCTCTAAACACACCAGTAGCAAAAGCCCCCAGGAAGCCTATAAAGTCAAAGGGAGACACTTGAAAACTTCTGGTCACAAGTGGGCAGGGGGAAGTCAAAGCAGGCAGCAGGAATCACATGATCATCTTGGGAAGTTGCCTCAATTTTACCCCTGTGGGTTGCTGGGAGATATGCAGAATATGTGCTTTTAGGGCTGCAAGCTTTTGTCCTTGCACTTGACTAAACATCTAAAGCTCAAGTTGATTCATTAGTGTAGTGTGTAGCAGATTTTTATTGTTGACAGCTACTATCAGTGGGGCTGAGTATTTTTTATTGTATTATTATTATTTTATTGTATTTTTATCAGTGGGGCTGACTACTGAGAGCAGACTTTTTGTTTTCTGGAACGCTTGGTTCTAGGCAGGGCTTTTTTTCCAGCGGGAACTCACTGGAATTCAGTTCCAGCACCTCTCAGTGGGTGCCATTGCCATTATAAGAGAATAAGAGATGTGTTTGTGGTGAGTTCCAGCACCTATTTTTTTTCTAGAAAAATAGCACGGGTTCTAGAGCATTACGCTGTTGTTGTTGTTTAGTCGTTTAGTCTTGTCCCACTCTTCATGACCCCATGGACCAGAGCACGCCAGGCACTTCTGTCTTCCACTGCCTCCCGCAGTTTGGTCAAACTCATGCTGGTAGCTTTGAGAACACTGTCCAACCACCTCGTCCTCTGTCGTCCCCTTCTCCTTGTGCCCTCCATCTTTCCCAACATCAGGGTCTTTTCCAGGGAGTCTTCTCTTCTCATGAGGTGGCCAAAGTATTGGAGCCTCAGCTTCACGATCTGTCCTTCCAGTGAGCACTCAGGGCTGATTTCCTTACACATGGTCCAGCAGAGCCCACAACTCTCCCGATGCTTTTCAGGGGGCACAGGGAGAAGGAGAAGGAGATGGGAAATGTTTCTTCCATGAACTTACTATAGGCCTTGTACCAGAACAGAGTTCAATGATTAAGCCATCCATCATCTGTGTCTGTTTGCATAGGACTCACCTGAAGATGAGATCAGAGTTATGATGACCCATACGCTCCAACATTCCTCAGATTAAAATAGGAACATTCCATTCAACATCACCATAGAGCCAACACCTTGCTGACATCTTCAACCAGGTGACTCACAGGCAGAGCAGCTAAGAGTGGATCAGGGCCAGAATCACAGTCTGATAGCACAGCTGTGGACCATCCATGTTTCTTGGGTCTGCAAGTGAGGAGTAGCTTACTTATGAGTATCCTTTTATTCCAGAGTCATCCTTGTTTCTTAGGCAGGCATTGCAGCATCTGGCAGCCAGTTGAGTATGTAACTTTAGGTGCCTGCACTCCCTAGGAATTGGTGGCCACTAGGTATCTGATTCCACAAAAGGCAATGGTGGTACCTGTGTTTTGGAACTCCTTCCCTAGATCACCCCACCAATCTCCTTAACTGTTAGCATTCAGGAAATGCCTGAATATTCCTAATATGACAGATCACTGTACCAAACATCCAAACTCACTGGGAGTTTTACAGTTCATCTACTTCCTCCTGGTTAAGACTTTGAATCCTGGATTCAATCCTTGCTTGTTTCCAGAAAGCAGTTTCTTGACTCAGATCAAGCCTTCAACGCGGAGTTTGCCAAGTATCACTTACTCACTAGAATGCATTGAATAGCTACTAGCATTTCTGGTCTGGATGTTCCAAAGGAATTATTAATTCAATGTTTATCATGCTGTCTGAATCATTAATGGTGTACCCTTATTAATACAACAGTGTAATTGCAGACGTTCTTTTGGTACTATGTCCAAAAACAATTATTAATATATGTGTGTAGATTACCGTATATTTATCTGGCAGACACCCCCCTTTGGTTATGCAAATTTGAAAGCTAGCACATTCCTGATCTAAATAGTTGGAATTCGATATTACCTTTTCAGTTCTGGTGCATATCTGCTTTGGTATCTAATATATCAGGCAATATATTTTGCCTGCAGGGCAGTGAAATAAATAATATTCCATTAAAAAGATTATTTTTGGCCTCTTTCAAAACATGAACACACACACACTCCCTCTCATGTGCGCGCGCACACACACACACACAGCCTGGTCTTGAGAGATGTCCAAAAAAATAAAGTTCCGAATACTGTGATTCTCTTCTGACGCAAAGCCTTGGAATGACTCCCACTGCTAATTTAGGATTTGTTGTTGAGAGGTTTTAAGATGGGAGTATTCACTATAATCCTTCATGTTGCGAAGAATTGTAGTATCTAAAACAAGCAGATGAAGCTGTGGCTGTTCACAAGCATGTGATTTTTACTCGTTTGTTGATGGAGAAGCAGGGAGAGGCTAGATAATCCTAAAATTCCTTGAAACTCCATGATTCTGGAACAGCCTATGATCTCATATGCAGTACTTTGTTTTCCAGGCAACCTGCTTGCAGAGAATAATGCTCATACTCATATCCCAAAATATGCCCACCAATATCTCAATCAGGTCATTGGCAACAGTTTTTTAAAAAAACTTTTAGAGTTCTTCTGGAAATGGTCAGTCCAGATTAAGGCTGTTTACACCCCCACTCGTTCCTCTGCATCTGCTGGTTTGGGAAGTGGTGAATGCAGGACATTAGACTCAATTCATATCCATGCCTTATATATCCTGTAGTTTCTTATGAAATACTGCATTTTGATGTGTTTCCTGCCCCCTCCCAAAAAAACAGCTTCAATATGAACTGAGAAAAAGAACAATCGAGTTGTGTTTTAAGGGGGTAACATGTGCAAGTCTAAATGGGAGGGAAAAAACAGACTGGCATTTTGATAACAATGATGTCATATGTACACTGCAAAAAAGCTTGCACACATGAAGAGGACCTCCAATCCCAAAATAAACACCTGTTTGGAAGCACCCCAGGATCTTTTCTACACAGTCTGTGTAGAAGTCCTACTGCAGTGTATTTACCTGTAGCATATAAATATTAGGATAGGTCATATTTAGAGTACACACTTCGAAAGTGATGGGGGCTGAAGGTGGTCAGCAAGACTTTAATTCTCATTAATTACAGTAACACAAGGCTAGCCGTAATTCCTAATGAATTCAATGGGGCTTACTCCCAGGTAAGTAGAAGTCGGGATTACCTCTAGTTTGGATCTAATACAATTCCCCCCATAAAGATGATTAGGCCCTTAACTGAGTACAAAGGAAGGTAGAGATAGTATCTTTGGAATGAGACTGAAGGAGTTTGCCAAGCTACCTTGACATTTATTCCTTTGCCAGAGAGTAGAGTTTGTCCACAGAAGTTTACCCTGTGAATATGCATCTGGTATTCTTCCTAACTGTCAGCTAGGAAACTCTTGCATTTTGCCATTGTTATCTGTGCTCTGCAAGAGAGCCAGGGGGAGATGCAAGCTACAAATCCAGGTCCCTAGCTCTACACACATATAAAAACTGTTCTGAAAATGCTTTTTTTTTTTTTTAAAAAAAAGGCGTCTTTAAAAATACATTGAATTTTCCATAAGGATCACCATCTAGTGTCACACTGTATACTACACTTAAAACACACTTAAAACTTTATTTGCAGCTGTATAGCTGAGTCCAGAGTTACCAGAAGTCCTTGATTTCAAATGAACAACCTTTTTTTTAGTTAATGCCAACACTGCAACATATTATGGGTGCCTTCTCCTAAAGAACACCATAGTTCCAGTGATATCCATAGTATCCATACGCAGTGCTATTTTTCCAGAAAAAGAGGTGCCGGAATTCACCATGAACATATCCCTCATTCTCTTAGAATGGCAATGGGGCCACCTAAGAGTTGCTGGAACAGGTCTGGCTGAAAAAAAGCCCTGCATATATGTGTGCCTGTACTTCTTCCAAAATATATGGTACTGTGGAGACAGTGCTGAGTTTAAACCAGGGGTCAGCAAACGTTTTTAGGAGGGGGCCGGTTCACTGCCCTTCAGACCTTGTGGCGTGCACACACGCACACACGCAGCGTAGGGGGGGCTTCTCTGTCTCCCCCCTCTCCCCCAGCCCCTCCCTTCCCCCAGCTTTCCTACCTCCTCCGCTGCTCTGCCTGCGGTTGGGAGCTGGCGGCAGCGCCTCTCCTTTCTGGACCAGCTTTCCCGGGCACCAGGCACGGGGCCAGCAGGCGCACCAATCTCCAGCAGAAGCCCTGCAACATGCCCACAGCATGGCCATGCACGGAGAGGCCGGTGGGTGGGTGGCGAGTCTGGGCTGCACCTCAGCCCGTGGGTGGAGAGGCTTTGGATTGGCTGGCACCCATCAAAGCCTAGCTCCCTTCCTCCACAGGGTGGGGAGAAGCCAGGAGGAGGGAGGGGGCACTGCCACGGTTTGTGTGAGAGGGAGGGAGGGGGGAAATTTTTTCGCAAAAAAATGGCACAGCCCGAACGATCATGGCATCCATCGGTGATTACAGGACCATCTGCGGGCCGGATCCAGAGGGCAATTGGGCCTGATCCAGCCCGCGGACCTTAGTTTGTCGACCGACCCATGGTTTAAACAATTGGAAGTTCGGCTTCAAATCCCCACTGAACTATGGAATGGGAGCCGAGGCAGAGAAAACCGCAGATAACAAATGACAAAATGCAACACTTTCCTAACTGCCACTCATTTAAAATCCCTACTTGAAGTAAATTACATGAACTTTAATTCTATTGAAATTTGGGGAAGGGATTTACATCTGAGGAATCTGAGTTTGAAGGGATCTTGGCACTTGTCTACTCCAACCTCTTGCTGAATGCAGAATCTGCAATGTGGGAAGCAACAACAGCATCTTTGACAGATGGCCATATAGTCTCTGCTTATATGCCTCTAGTAGCAGGGTAAGAGAGCTGAAAACAATGCCAATATTTTCACATCTGGCAACCTTTGGTTTCAGATAGTACATGGGTAGATGAGTCTAAAAAGCCTGGTACACAAATTTTCATGACCCTCTAGCAGCTATGGTGGCCCATTTACCAGAAGCAATGTCTTTAGCATTAACTCTGGAAGTGTGTACTGAATTCTGACCAAACTAAGCCTCCAGGCATATATTTTTGCTCTAGGAAGCTTAGTTTGGAAAACCTTGGGCTTAATAGGTTGAGGTAGCCATGTGCAGGATTGTGCTGCAAACTTATGTTTGATGGCAAACTTATTTCATGTTAAGTGTGAAATGAACCCTCAATTTGGGAGCAAGAATTAGTGAAAGCAATGCCAGTTTATGTGTCTTTACTTTCCTTGGTTACAAATAGAGAATGCAAACAGTTGGTTTTGTTAGTTTTCTTGGTTGAGTGAGGCTTGCTATGACTGAGTTTAAGCATCCAATATATACTTAAACCAGGGTTGTTACTGCTTCAGTTCTCATTTAGGTCAGCTTAAATGACATCTAAATGAGTTAATTTATTGGTACAAGCTAAACTACTTTAGGTTTCAAATAAACAGTATTACACAGAGTTTCCACTTGTTGGACAGTCCTGACTTTTTAAATAGAGTTTGTTAAAGCTGAGCAGTTCTTTTTCTATCCAAGGCCCAGCTTCTGCTTTCCAAACTGCAAGTTATTCGCTTTGATTTTCTGCTTAATCTTATTTGCAGTGCCATTCAACTTCCATGGTACGAAGGTACTCATTGGTGAACACTGCCAGATCAAGATTTCAAAAAGTTATACTTTAAAGCTGTGGTTTGTGGTCCAGCTCTAATGTAAAAAATATTAATTATGGTCTGCATGACTGAGAAGCTCCAGCCCACACTGAAATGTACTGGTAAGAACTAGCCTCAAAAGAAGACTTTCTGTTTAAAAGGAAAAAATAAAATAAAATTTAGCAGCACAATCCTAACCATGTCTACTCATAGTCTGTTTGAATTCAGTGGGGCTTACTTCCAGGTATGCGTGGTCAGGATTGCATCCTAAGAAAATCATCATATTTCATCTTCTTGCTGTAAGAAGCCTATGTTTAAAAAAAGGGAGGAGGAGAAGGATTAAGGGTAAACAATCCTATCCTGGGAAGTTCCAATGGGCTCCACTCATTTCACCACTAACACAACAAGATCTACTAGTACTAACAGAGTTGCATAGGTTCCACATAGGTTTCTTGAACACAGACATGGATTCCTTATGCTATAATGATACCCTTGCTATAATGAGCTTTCCAGATCTAGCAGAAATATGTGTTTGAACACATCTAGTTTTTTGTTTTTGTTTTAATACTCTACAGCCCTTTAGTCTGCCGCTGAGGCATTACTTTCCCACAATTTAGGTGAAACAGAGTTGAAATGTAGTTCCCACACAAGCATTTATTGTACTACTATATCATCCAGCATTGCCCTTCCTTATGGCCAATATCATCCTATAATATTTGTTCACAGATAAGCCTATTTAGCAAAGGGTCTCAGAAACACTGGCTAAATGTTTCCTACATGTCATTGCTTTCATATCATTGTTGGAAAATTAGTGTTAAAGAGTGTATCTCCATTTCCCCTTGAAAATTTGCAGGGTCGGTTTCTATTTTTGCTGACCAGAGGAGAGGAGGGCTTTAGTTACTGGTTTTCTCTCAGTTTTTTTCTTATAATTTTAATAGTGGAATAATTGTCATGACTCACAACCAAGAATCTTGCAATGGATGGTGGAGATCTCTTATGAGAATGACATATAGGCTACCTCCTGTACCTTACTGGGGACCTTCCTGACCAAACGACCCAACCCCACCACCATCTATCTCCCTGCAAAATAGGGTGAGGGACATTTAACCAGCCAGCTGGTTCCTCCAGGGAGGCAGAGCTTACCATACATTACGTCTGGCCAACCTCCATAAGGCTTCCGTTGACTCTAGCTCAGGGGTCAGCAAACTTTTTCAGCAGGGGGCCAGACCACTGTTCCTCAGACCTTGTGGGGGGCCGGACTATGTGGGGGGGGAAACGATTTTCATCTGTCCGCAAAGCGGCCTGAAGATGCTTCACTTTACCTGTCCCAGTTGTCATCCCAATAGCCGCAGTTGGGCTTCTCCAGCCAGCCAGGCACTGTGGCAAGGTAGGAGGCTGCGTTGGCTGGTGAAGACAGAAGCAGCAGCCCCAGTGGAGGAGCCACGGACAGAGGTAGGGGAACCGGGGCATCACCGGAGCTTTTACCCACCACCTGCTGCTGTTGCTTCCTAAGAGGCACCATGGAGAAGGAAGACAGAGCCGCCTGCCAACCCACAAGCAGCGGCCGCAGCCACCGCAACAACCCGCCTGAACGCCATAGGAGGAATGAAGGAGGGAGAGATGGAGGAAGGCGGCAAAGACGAAAGCAAGCGAGGAAGCGGCGCGGAAAAGGGGCGTGGAGAAGGAAAGAAGGACGGACTGAGGGAGAGGGAGGAGGAGCAGGAGGAAAATGCAGCGGCAGCCAGCATCACACGCCCCCTTCACAGCGCTGCCCTGCTAAGGCAGGCAGGCAGGCAGGCGAGCTGAGTCCTGCTGTTGAGGGCACCCGGCGTGGGATAAGATTGCTCCGTCCCTGAGGAGAAAAGGGCCGCCGTGTTAGGGAGAGGGAGGGAGAGGGAAAGAACGTGCACACTGGAGACCCACGCACTGGCGATCCACACGGCGATCCCTGCACCGTCCGCAGGCCAGATCTAGAAGGCAATTGGGCCTGATCTGGCCTGCGGGCCTTAGTTTGCCGACCCATGCTCTAGCTCCTTGCAGAGGCAACACCTGTAGCTTCAGAGAACAAGGCTCTGCTGGAGCTGTCCAAGGTCCTGCTCTTGTCTGCTCTCAGCTTGACCTTGGCATAGACTGGTCACTCTGCCTGTTTCCCTGGTGACCTCCAAGCTCAGGTGGAACTGGACAACTATACTGTATCATTAGAAAAATGAGAATGAAACATCAAGGAAAAAATGAATGAATGAAAGAAAACCAAGCAAACAGAATCAAAGCCTTCTATTCCCTCTCTCTGTCATAGGAACAGAAACTGACACTGGACAATCAAGCAGGGTTATTCAAGGGCAATTAATAGGCCATTCAATATTAGTTCCCTCCCCGACACTCATAAATAAACCATAAAACTGGCAGCAGCTGTACTTAGGAAATGTCCTATTAAACACAAAGGAGCTCCAATAAGGCTTAATAGTACTTTGTCTAATCACACTGGAAAAGCTGGTGCTGCAAATGTATGTACATATGTATGTATGTATGTATGTATGTTGCTGTTGTTTTATTAATTTATTTTATATTCCATCAACCCAGAAAAATAAGCACAGAACATGTCTGAAAAAAACATTGGAAACCATGGATGCTCTGTAAAAACTAACAATGCAATCCTATGTGTGTATTTGGAAGTAAATCCTGTTGGTTCAATGGGGCTAACTTCTGGGAAATTGGAATGGTTGTCTCCATCATGTAAGCATCCCGGGAGCATCTAACCAGCTAATGTTGAAGACAGCATCCTGGATTAGATGAATCTGTGGTCAAATCTAGCAAGATGATTTTTGTTCTTGTAAGATCTGGGTGTGTCCTTTGAAGTAATACTTTAGTATCAAAACAGCCCCTTTGCAAGCATATATATATATTGCTAATAATTGTAACACTCAAAAACTACACATTAAAAATCTTAATAAAATAGAAAAACAGCTAAGCAAAAAAACAAAATTTACAACTACATAGAGACAGAATCTCCACTAACCCATAAAAGCCTGGCAGAATTAAAAGTGTTCTCACCTGTCTGTGAAAGGAGACCAGGGAACAGACATAAGCAGAAGCCAGTGTGGTGTACTACAGATGTTGGATTGCAACTTCTGTCAGCTATAGGCAGCATGGCCAACAGTCATGCTGCATTGGCTACACCCGATGTACACATTTCTTGGGAAGAGTTATCCACAACTCTGGGGCCACCACAAAATGTCCCTTCTCGCAGACAATAACCATACACCATTAAATGAAATAAAGCAGAGTAGGCTATACTAGTCAACCTGAAGGCCTTGTGAGGGAGTGGAGGAGGTTCATACAGGAGAAAGTACTCCGTGAAATACTTGGGAAGCAAACCACATTTTATTTTTGTCAAGTAAATTGTTACACTCAGTCCTTTGCTTTATCTCATCATACATCAGATTACTAATTAGCAAGTAATCCTTCAGAGATGAAAATCTTGAAAATGATGCAGGTCTTACTCACTTGCCTACCTCTTTCTTGCTTGAGTACCATGATACCTTAATCACAATTGTATTGCATTCAAATCTCACTTCAGTATTTGAGAAATGGACAGATTCAATGGTGCAAAGATCATGCAATGTTTTACCCCTGGGGGGCAATTTGTTCCAATTAGTGCCTCAGCAAGCAATTATTGCTGTACAGAACTCTGATTGTTATTCCTGCCTGAGCCAGCTGACTCAGAACGATACAATACTATGAACAAGTGGAACATGCATAGCAGTCCGGTGCCCTTTCTAATAAAGATCTATTGTTAAGGCTCATTTTCCAGTCTGTTTTTTGAATGAAGTCTTTTTTCACTTTCAGAAACATCCATCTTTTCCAAACAATGGCAGATGATGTCTGAAAAGCAATACGTCCCATGCTGAAAGTCTATCTGTACACTAGAGTTAATTCAGCTCATTTCAGCCGCCATGTGACACATTTTGATGAAAATCTAAATTATCCAAAGAAGGGTTTATTGTGCAAAATGATTTGCCATCTTTATGTTCACCCTCATGAGGGCACTTCAGGCAGGTTCCTATTCTTTACGCATGGAGTGACAGCACTAGTGATTTGCCCAAGGCCACCCAGTTTGCGTACTTGGCTGAGGTCTCCCAGGTTTAACTCCCATACTCCATTTACCATTATGTAATGAAAAAAGAAAGACAAAAAAAAATGCCCATCGTGTAATTGGCTCTCTATCATATTTAAAAATAAATCTGTAACACTGAGCAGAAGCGGGGGTGGAGCCGGGGAAGGGGAACAGCCTCTGGATATAAAACCTTAATGATGATGATGTTTAGGAAAAAATAATCTCTCTGGATCCCTTTTTTTAAGCATTTCATTTTGCTGACAGCGAACAACCATTTAAGTCAGAGGCAACGTGATTTACTGCAGTGCTAACTGCAGTTCTGACTTTCGTACATCTATTTTCCATGTAAATATAGTCAGGAAAACGGAACCACAGAATTGTAGCTACTCTTCTTGTATCATCCAAACTGGAATACAAATAAGAGATCTGGTTTCATGGAGCATCCCTCCTTCCACTCTTCTTTTCCTTTTACCACTCCCCACAGCCCATCACCCCCATTGTATGAGACTACAAAACTCAGGTTGGTGGCTAGCCTCATTAACACCCACCACCAACATCATTAAAAATTAAGAATCTGGGCCAGCAGTAGGGCCTCTACCCAACTAGAGCTCTGGAGCAATGGGTCTTATAATTGAATCATTATAATCCATTCTATAATGCAACAGGGAAAGACTTCAGAAAAATAATGGTAGGAAATGTGACCTTTCCCTGTTCCCTCCTCCTTCTCTCTACCCCCTCCCTGCCATCATATTCTTGAACTACTTTATTTCATGCTTCCAACCTTGTGGCATGGTCTGGACTCCATAAGGAGGAGTAAAAATGAAGGGGTTGATTTGACTAGAAAGAATTAATGAGGCTCAGATAACTTTCACAAGGAGTGACACATCTCTTATCCAGAGTCTAAACCTCCAGCACATTCTCAAGAGGGACAATTAACTTACTCCTTGCAGTGAGCTTGTTTCATTCGTGTGGAGTAAGTCAATGGCATGCACTATAAGAAAACAGTTAAATGTTTGTTTCTCTGGGTTGCTAGACAACGTATTAACTTTAATTTGGTTTCCAGTCATTTTAAAG